TACCGCGAGCTATTTTTAATGACGCGGGGTATTCTTGTACTTAAGAACAACAGCGGTTGGAGAAGAATTTCTGGTTTGCAGTTTGTTCAAGTGGAGGAATGAGGTGAAAGGAAAAGTAGTCAATGAAGCTCTCCTATTGTCCATGATGGCCGTAAACAAGAGGACGAGTGGAACGAATGGACGAGTTATTAGCAGGGTCAACCGTCACGTTCGCACTTTTTCAAAAATTTTGCGACCCTAACACCACCATCAGTCTTAGAAAGCTCCCCCAATACGATCTTCCTTTCCCCTTCTCCTACCACTACCCTCATCTTCATGACTGTTTCCATAGTATTCGATTCTGAAATCAGTCGACACAGCCCAACTCACTTTCTCCTCCAAATTCCCACCAAAACGGCCGTCGCGGGGGGACCGGTAAATTGGTATCAGTAGGTATCATGAAGCGGAAAATCCATCAATTTTGCCTAATTCTTACCACTTTAGTAAAAGTTTCACCAAATTCGTCAGAAAAATCTGTCCAAACACCCTTTATCGACCTCCATCACCTCCACTCCCACTATGATAACCCTCTACATCCCCAAAATGGACCCTTTCCGAATCCTAATGTGACTCCGTCGTTGAATAGTGTGAACGGACGGTTGACCCTGGTTATCTAACTCACGTAACTATTTTGAACATGGACTTTCACAACATTTTCGCCATATTGCCTTCACAGAAAATCACGAAAGTAATTTCTTGAGATTCCCAAATAGAGGCTGCGGCGGTCACCCAGATATGGAACCGTTCTTAATTAAATAAGCAAGAACGCAGCAAGAGAGGAGTAAGTAAGTGGAGCGGGATGATCCCGTAGGTAATAACGCTGTGCGTGGCATGTTCTTTAAGTAGGCGGTTCTTTGAATGGCCATCCTAGCAAATATATAGAAGGCGTGATATGGTGAAAAATTGATTTTTCAGTGTACTGCTTGTGAAGTGTGTGTAGCGCCTTTAATTCTTTCCCCTCATTTCAATGATCCAACGTTTTTCAACTCCAATGTGTAAGATTCGTCGACAAGAGTGTAGTGTTGTCTTTTCAATCGATGGTGTTGCAAAGTTTGCTGTGCGCGATTTGAATCGAGATATGTAAACATTGCGTTGCCTATAATAGTCCGATTCAAGTTTGCACACTCCACAAGCCAGAAGCGGCGTGAGCAGTTTGGCTTTGTATTGCCATGAATGGCTACAAAGCAACGCCCTTATTCGATTGCCTTGACTCTACGATACGATTTCCTTGTCAGCGTCCAGCTTGCCATGCGTCATGAAGATCGCGAAGACGTGCGAGAAATATTTCAGTATTGGAGCAGCATGAACCACATATCGAGGCCGTTCGACAGCTGAAACACCCCTCCCCCACCTTTTCACTCAGAAAATCCCGCTTTTAATGGCTAGTATCACTATGCCAACAGGAATCTTCACACCTCTGCTTCCAGATCTCCTGTTCCATCCCTACTTTGGACACAATTGACCGTAACAAAGAAAAATGAGATGAGTTCGAATCGTCGAAATGTCTATTGTAGCAGGAGCCTCATATTAGGAAACACATAATCATAAGAAAGCAGCACACTTTCTGGAATTCTCATAGAATTAGTCAAAATCCACAAAAAAGGTTTCGAAACTCTTCCAATTCGAAATACACTAGTAGTTCAATCTGGTAGGACTTACCCTTTCTCTGACAACTAAACACCCCCCATCTCGTAGAAAATCTTCGCTATTGGCCCACCTTGGTTTGCAGAGCTCAAATCAGGTCAATCCTGTTTGCTTAGTTAAAACTTCACGTGTCATACAGCACAGCAGATGCGATGGTACGTGATCGATATATTGACGATGCTGTAACTAAATCTGTTTTTAGCAACTTATTCTCCAACCACTTATTGAATTCACAAATAAGCTCGAAGTCAATTAAATTTCATGAAGGGGTCGGAATGAAATGAAACAGAGTTTTCAACCTGAGGAATCGATGAAAGTATGCGGACTGGGGACATATGGTCAATCATCGGGACTCATGCAATGCTACACTCTATCGCCATCTGTACCTTTCCTGCGATTGTGGATTTTTCGATGGCCCAAGGTGGTGATGCCACATAAATTTTGCTTCTGTTCCCTCTTCTTCTGGAGGCAGATCAAAGCTTCATTTGGTCTTTCAGTAGTGGTTACTCGAAATAACTTCAATCATTGGGTGATCGCGGTGTATGAACTTAGACGGGGACTTAAACTTCAAACTCGTAAGGTTTTTGCTTCATAAGTAGGACGGACTGATATCGTTTCTGCTTAGTGAAGTATTACTGATTCTTCCTTATGGCTAATCATAGTCAATTTTTATTGCGAACCATCTAAGCTTCTGTTCAATGAGTTAGTTTCATGTTTCTATGGCATTTCAAAATTCAAAACAAAATTTCGAAAAAAGAAACAAAAACTCATGAGGGCTATTGTTCTGTTACACCTTCCTACTCCTCATACCTCACAAAATTGGCTGTAGAAGACAGTGCTGTGGTTCATATTTTTGTATTGTATTTGAAACTCTTCCTTCAAAAACTCTCAGTTTGCAGCTTCAGGGAAAGATCCCGGTGTGAACTTTTGGGTCACCTAAATATAGCAGAAGGAATTCGTATTGCCCTCATTTTTTTCTAATCTCGAAACTAGAAGAATGATTGAGTGGCATACACTGTGCTACTTTAGTGATTGGATTTGATCGATTACCAACACTGAAAGAACTGCAAAGGAAAATCTGAGAACTTTTGGAGCTTTTTTTTATTAACAATTAACAGCGAGGAAGTGGGCAGAGGATGTGATTAGGTGGCATATTTCTTCGAATAATTCCGTATATGGAAACCCCTCAAAACAGTGTTCATTATGTTATACATACTAATCTGTTTTCGGGAAGCAATTGGGGAAAAGAAGCTAAATTACTCCGAACTGGTACCACGTAGTAGAAGAGCGCATCGCCAACTGTTTTAGCAAAGGAGTTATCGTAGAACAGACCTGGAGTTTACGATCATTCGGGCCGCTTTTCCTCCTTTGGTACTCAAGGAATTGTGCTTCACGTATTCCTCATTAATATCAAGTTTTTTATTGGTAGGGTTTGACGTGTCACCTGCAATGCACCTCGTGATTTAGTGTTCTGCTTCAGACTGTCCCCGAATTACTGTGTTGCCGTTCTGGTCATAGTTAGTGCTTTACTATGCTGCGTAGCTCTCGGTTAGCTAACAGCAAATGATATTTGTGAAGGTTTGGGTTACAGAGAAGTGGATCGAGAGAGAACGTGAACCATTAGATTACTTGCAAAGCCCTTCGCCCTTTATTTAGGTCATTCTTGTCAGAAAAGTCTTTGGCCATTTTTCGGTTTTTTTTTTCTAATTCCTTATTCTTCTTTGGTACAGTGAAGCAATTTATAATATAAACATATGCCCCAGCTTGATTGCCAACATATTAGCGGACAACTCGTGGTGGCGTTTGTCTGGAAATACTGAGCTTTTGAAGCAAAACCTTGAAGAAGGTCTTTCGAAATAGGTTCTGATCAATAAGCTATCCCTCTTTTGTTATGATTTGACAGCAATGGAAGCAGATGGTGGTCTGTTAGTGCCGGGTCTGCTGAATGCAACAGGTGGGACAGAACGTCCCATAACGGGCTTGGAGACTTTGCTGAACCTTCTTCCAAATTCGTTGACAAGCGTTGCCTGGGTAAAGTAAACTTTTCCATGGTTTTAAAACATAGTGCCGGCGAACCCATCCATTTGCCCATATTATGGTTCAACAATAGCAGTGCAGTTCTTTTTTGGTAGAGCTTCAGTGAACGAATCGCTTGGAGCTTCACCAATTCTGAAAGTTACCTCCCAGGTTGCAGTGCTGGAATCGGCGCTGGAATCCTTCGGTTCTACGCGTCTGGGCCACTGGCGCTTCCGACTGCAGTTTACGTGAGGAACCCACTTCTGATTACCACCAACAAAGTAGTCGGGTCAAACAAGAGACAGACGGTAAATCAAAATGTTCATGCAAAATCTGAAGGCCTCTGACGGCGGTTGTCACCAATGTCACGAAATCTCCTTTTGCCATATTTCTCGCCTTTTGGGAAGATATTGAGGAACAGCTATTCTGAAACTTTGAAAAAGCTGCGTCAGTTCCGTGCATTGCTCCGGAGACTGTTTCCAAACAGCTCCAGAAGACACTCGTCATTCAGAGGAACAGGCCAAAAGAATTTGTGCATTTTTCTCGAGTTTCTGGACTTCGGCAACCAAATGTTTACCATGTCGTGAAAGACACTCTGGGGTTCCATCGCAAGACGTGAGCTCTTGCCGCATCGCTTCCATTGACGCGTTTTCTGGGTTTCAGAACAGAGCAGCCAAACATGCTTTCAGTCAAAAACGATTTTCTCATAATCGCTGTGAGAAACCACGACAGAAATGCTATGAAGATCATTGACTAGGGTTTACATACGTTTTACAATAAATGTTCAAAAATTATCCCTGAAGATTTTACAACATGCAGATCGAAATGGCCAAAGACTTTTCCGACAACCTAATATTTTCGGGAAAGGGAAACATAATTTTTCGTTTCTGAGGATCAATTTTTGTCTTAGTCTTATTTTGAAATAGACAAACCTTGTTGTAATTGATGTCTATCCATCTCCTTGAGCAGCGCAGGCGATAGTCTATTGGTAGAAAGGAAGACAACGAATTTGTTGGACTGAGAGAGAAAATTATTATACACAGGAATGAGTAATGCAGTTCCATATACGTATTGTCGATGATTCGTCATTGCATCCCAAATTTCCATTTTGACAGTAGCCCTCCACATTATGATACTTGTTTTCAAATTAAATTGCCCATAAATTTTCTTTCAGAATACCATGTTGCCTCCTTCGCAGCGTTGCCGTGATCAGACGACAAAAGCTCCAACAGGACCCTTCAAAAGAGATCACCTTTTGAAGTATTTGGAAGAGAAAGCAAAGAGCGAAAAGGACTGGGAGGATGTGGTGCCGTTCTCACTTGGAACAAAACGAGGTAGGTTTTGATTGCTTAAAT